GGTTTAGGGTTTAGGGTTTTACGTAGGGTTTAGGGTTTTAGGGTTTAGGGTTTTAGGGTTTTAGAGTTTAGGGTTTTATGGTTCAGGGCTTAGGATTCACAGTTTAGGACTCGGGGTTCAGGGGTTTAAGGTTTACTTGGAGGATCATGGGACTTAATAAGTAAGGTTGTAAGTCCCCTAAATGGGGTTATAAGTATAGTTACCTTGGTTATAACCCTACTTACTAAGTCCCATGATCCTTTAAGTAGGACTCACAGTTTAGGACTCGGGGTTTAGGGGTTTAAGGTTTAGGGATTTGGTAGTTGTCTAAATTAGGGTCCTTTTTGGGGTCCCCAATATGGTACGGCACAGTTATAAAACGGACCCTAAAAGGGACCCTAATTTAGAGAACTACGCATTTAGGCTTTAGGGGTTTACGGTTTATGGTTTGGAACCCTAAACCCTAAACCCTAGACCCTAAACCCTAAACCGGGCCATCCTTGGGCAGCGCGATCTCCAGGATGATACGGCAAAGAGCCCCGGCCACCAGCGACAGGAATCCAGCCTCAATCGAGGGTTTAGGGTTTAGGGTTTAGGGAGCTGTCTTTACTTGGAGGGTCATAGGACATAGTAAGTAAGGTTATAGGTCCTTTAACTGGGGTTATAAGTAAATATAAGTACAGTTACCTTAGTTATAACCCTACTTACGAAGTCCCATGATCCTTTAAGTAGAGCTCTCTTGTGAAGGGAATCAAAGAAGGGTATCCCGACCATCCTCGTGATGGTTGGCTTTCTATTCGCACTAACGGGACCATACTGCCTAAGGATAACAACAAGGATGGCTCTGATAAAAAAAACATACTACTTAATAACCTTCCCTAAACCCTAAACCCTAAACCCTAAACCCTAAACCCTGAACCCTAAACCCTAATCACATTCACCGTCGAAGTCATGATGATGAGGCAGCCTCAGGCTTGATGTTCTTCCAGTAGACCAAAGCGAACAAGGGCACGACGCCGGCTGCGAAGACGCAGTCGAAGGCGACGATTAGGAAGTAGCCTGGGTTCAGGGGTTTAGGGTTTAGGGTATGGGGTTTAGGGTTTAGGGTTTGGGGTTTAGGGGTTTAGGGTTAAGGGGTTTAGGGTTTTAGGGTGGGTTTGGGGTTTAGAGTATGGGTTCTTGTTAAGGCAGTAATTACCTTTGCGTTACCATCGTAAGGAAGGCACTGATCTACTTTAAGTCTCCTTACAAGTAACTTAAAGATCCTTCACCCTGCCAGCAGCCATAGATACTTATAAATCCTTGCAGAAACCTCCCGAAACCCGAAACCCTAATCCTTTAAAAAAAAGGACGAAACAAGAACGCAGGAGCCTGTTTCGTTCGGCCGAGTGCTGGCAATGAGGCCCGCGATGATGGAGAAGAGCAAGGTGGAGGAGCGGGTGATTTTCAGGAGGTTCTCGTCCGAAACCCGCTTCCTGTGATGAGTTTAGGTGTTCGATGTCTTCGAAGGATTACGCGATTAGGATTTCTAGTTTAGTATGTAGCGTTTCCGTTTAATGGGTTTGTATTGCAACCAACGGGTTCTACAAGGGTTACTACACCGGTTCAGGCTGGCTGCTTCGTCAGACACCCTGCACCCTAACCCCAAAACCCTAAACCCTGAACCCCAAACCCTAAACCCCAAACCCTAGGCCCTAAACCCAGCACCCTAAACCCCAAACCCTAAACCCAGAACCCTGGAAGCCCAAACCCTAGGCCCGAAACCCTAAACCCTAAACCCCAAACCCTAGGCCCTAAACCCAGCACCCTAAACCCCAAACCCTAAACCCAGAACCCTGGAAGCCCAAACCCTAGGCCCTAAACCCTAAACCCCAAACCCTAGGCAATAAACCCAGCACCCTAAACCCCAAACCCTAAACCCAGAACCCTGGAAGCCCAAACCCCAGGCCCTAAACCCTAAACCCTAAATCCCAAACCCTAGGCCCTAAACCCAGCACCCTAAACCCCCAACCCTAAACCCAGAACCCTGGAAGCCCAAACCCTAGGCCCTAAACCCTAAACCCCAAACCCTAAACCCAAACCCTGGAAGCCCAAACCCTAGGCCCTAAACCCTAAACCCCAAACCCTAAACCCAGAACCCTGGAAGCCCTAAACCCTAGACCCTAAACCCAAAACCCTAAACACCAAACCCTAAACCCGGAACCCTGGAAGCCCCAAACCCTAGACCCTAAACCCAAAACCCTAAACCCCAAACACTAGACCGAGAACCCTGGAAGCCCTAAACCCTAGACCCTAAACCCAAAACCCTAAACCCCAAACCCTAAACCCAGAACCCTGGAAGCCCTAAACCGTGCTTCGAAACTCTGCAGATGAACGGAGCCTCGGGTCTCTGAAAGTTTACGCCGTCCAAAGCACACAAAAGGGTTTAGGGGGTTTAGGGGTTTAGGGGTTTAGGGTTTAGGGTTTAGGGGTTTAGGGTTTAGGGTTTAGGGTTTCGGGGGGCTTAGGGGTCTAGGGCTTGAGGGGTTTAGGGTTTAAGGGTATTTAAGGGCTTAGGAGTTTAGGGATTAAGGTTCTAGGTTTTAGGGCTGTAGGCTTTAGGGGTTTTGGGTTTGGTGCTTTTGGGTCTAGCGGAGCTTCGTCTTGCGCAGCAAGTTGTGAGAGAAGACGGTGCCAAGGGCTACAATGGCCCCATCGGCGGTGGACATGGAGGCAGCCACAATGCCGAGCAGGTACCTCGGGTTCTGGATTCATGAGGCTTAATAGAGCTTCATAGGGCTTCAACCCTAAACCCTTAACCCTGAACCCTAAACCCTAAACCGGAAATCGTATGGTTTGCTAGGGCTTCACAGGGTGTGCTAAAGACGGCAGCTCATGGCCCTGTAGGGAGCCGAAGGGCCGAAGCCCTGAACAACAAAGGCCAATCCCCTAGAACCCTAGAGCCCTAACCCTAAACCCTACAACCCTAGAGCCCAACGGTTTAGGGTTTAGGGTTTAGGGTTTAGGGTTTAGGGTTTAACTCTAGAACCCTAAGCCCTAAACCCTGGAACCCTAAGCCCTAAGCCCTAAACCCTGCAACCTGAAACCCCTAAACCCAAACTGCTGAACCCTAAACCACGAAACCCTAAACTCCACCACTCTCTGGTCTTTCCTTGCAAGGGGCCAGCATCCAAGTGCACCGTTCATTGGAAAGTTGGCCTGAAAGAGATGAGGGTGCCAAGTGTAGAGTTTGGGGGAGGATGATTGTGGGGTTTTGGGTTTAGGGGTGCAGGCTGTATTTGTTGTAGATTTGAGGTGCTGGACTTTTGTGGCCCTGGGCGACGGAAGATGGAATACACGACTAAGGATAAGTGAGCATGTTCTCTGCGTTGCTGCGTGCACTATCCGAGAACTGTAACGCTCTAAAGCCACAACCTCGCAGTGCAGGTGTTTTTTCCGGCTGAAACCAACCACCCAAAACGATGGGTTGAGGATTCAAGATTTTGGGCACATAAGTTTCGGGTTCAGGGTTAAGCAAGGCTTATGACTGGCATAGGGTGCTTGCTTTTTTTGAGGGGGGCTTTAGAGTATTTTGTGCAGGGCTGCATGTGTTGGGGTAGGGTTTAGGATTTGATGCTCAGAGGTTAAGGGAGCTCATATAGCTGTGCTAAGCACATGCAACAGCTCACTACCCTAAACCCCAAACCTCAAACCCCACACTCTGAACTCACGGCCAACCTTACAAAACCCAGCGTGAAGTCGAAATGCAAGGCAGACGGAAGTCAAGACCCTCGGATCACCCCCACCCTGGTGAAAATGAGTCCTTGAACAGCATTTTCACTGCACGACATCCCGACGGAAATCCTTGCCACACCACACCTTGTAAAAAAAACCCAAACTTAACCAAACTCTAAAAAAAACACTTGTACTGAACATTAACAAACTAAGAATACCCAAACAAAACCCTAAGAAAACCCGACGAAAGCCCTAAAATCTAGGGGCCTGAATAACTAGAATAGGGTTTCTGGAGCCCATTATGCTGCAATCATGATAAGGAACCCCCGAAATAGTATTGGTAATTCTATAAACCCTAAACCCTAAACCCTAAACCCTAAACCCCCCGTAGTTGTTGCATCCCTTGGACCCCGGAATTCTAGAGGCTTCTATATTGAACCCTAAGCCCTCAGAGATTCGAAAGCCCCACACCCAAGAGACACTCCCCTAAACCCTAAACCCTAAACCCAAAACTAAGGTTTAGGGTTTAGGGTTTAGGGTTTAGGGTTTAGGGTTTAGGGTTTAGGGTTTAGGGTTTAGGTTTAGGGCTTAGGGTTTAGGGTTCCCCAAACCCTTAACCTCCCTTCTGCGCGCCTCGTGCCCAGGTCCGAAACCTGAGCTGCCCTCCCAGTCGGTAAACGCGTGGCACTCGGGCTTGTCACAGGTCAGCAGCTTCCTTTAAGGGCTGTTCTCGGAGCGTCTAGGGTTGAGGGTTTAGGGGTTTCGGGTTTAGGGGCTTAGGGTTTAAGGGTTAAGGGTCTACAGGTTTAGGGCTTAAGGGTTAAGGGTTTAGGGGTTCTGAGTTTTGGGGCTTAGGGTTTAGGGTTTAGGGTTTAGGGTTAGGGATGTGGGTGTTTTTCTAAGGATAAGGCTTTATAGGGTTCGCAAGGAGCTTCCTTACGGCAATTTGGCTGCATGGCTTAAGGCTTACTTAAAGGATCATGGGACTTAGTAAGTAGGATTATAATTAAGGTAACTATACTTATATCCCCAATTAAGGGACTTATAACCTTACTTACTAAGTCCCATGATCCTCCAAGTAAGTAAGACTGCTGAGGGATTTCGTTGGGACTATTGGCCTGGGGTTTGGGGGTTTGCGTTCGGAGTTTGGGGTTTAGGGCTTAGGGTTCAACTGAAAGAAAGGATCAGGCGTATAAAGTAGCAGCTGTATGGCTCAGAATGCCTTGGGCTGTTATTTTTGTGGGGGGGGGATAGAAATCAATGTAAAGGGCACTAGAAGAATTACAGGCTTTGCTTAGGGCTTTACGATCAGCAGTAAGTAGGTTCTGAGTAGAGGTATAAGCTTTCAGTTGCGATAACTCCACCAATAAAGCTAAGTTCACTGGTCCGTTCAGCATGCACGGTCTTGGCTGACAGCTTGCAGGGTTGGAAGTGCCGCTCTTCGCAGGCGGTTAGGGATGTTTGGTGTCAAGTCTTTTCAGATTGACGTTTGTTGGAAGAGTTGCGAGAAGAGCGCTCATGATCAAGTTTTCAATGAGGCTTGCAGCGGCTTTTGTGCCCTTTTTGAAAGGGTGCTCAACATGTGCTGGTCGGCTTTGACATGAGCTCTGCACAAACCCCGCACCCTAAAGCCTAAACCCTAAACCTTAGACTCTGAACCCTAAGTGGGAAAGGCTTCGAGGTCTCAGGAGCTCGGAGCTTCATGATCCAAACTTCTCCGCTACAGACAGTCAGTTCCCTGAGAGTTTAGGGTTTAGGGTTCAGGGTTTAGGGACTCAGGGGGCTCCTAAGGGGCTCCTGCAAAGGACCTATGGGTAGTTCTCGAAATTTCGGTCCCTTTTGGGGGTCCTTGCCATAAGGCTGCGGTACTATATTGGGGACCTAAGACGGGACCGTAACTTAGAGAACTACCCATGTATAAACTCTGTTATGGCCTACAAGCCTCAGCAGCCTTTTTCCTCCCATCCAAGCATCCTCAATGGCTCCATATGACAAGGAGGCCTAGGAAAGTCTATCGACTATTGAGTTTCACAGTCTTAGGGTATAGGGTTTAGGGCTCAAGGCCCTTGAAGTTGGAGCAAAGAGGGGACCCCTGGTATAGACTTTAAGTAGGACCCGGTGTATGAAGACCCTGGAAAAGGGGCTTCAAGGTGCTCTTCCAAGTGCCGCCCAGCTTCAGGACAGCATAAGGGTCCTGCACGGGTTCGGTGAGACCGTGTAAGAGCACTCCCTTCCAAAGCCCGAACCTACAACTACTAAACCCTAGACCCAAAACCCTAGACCCCAAACTCTAAACCCTAAACTCTAAACCCGAAGTGAAGCCCTAAACCCTAAGCTCTAGGCCCGAAGCCTTAAACCCTAAACTCTAAACCCTAAACTCGAAGCCCTAAACTCTAAACCTAAACCCTAAGCCCTAGACCCTAAACTCTAAACTCTAAACCTAAACCCTAAACCCTAAACCCTAAACCCTAAACCCTAAACTCTAAACTCTAAACTCTAAACCCAGAGCCCTAAACCCTTAACCGGGCGAAGTCTCAACTCTGCAGGCCTGAGCTCCAGCACAAAACCAGAAGCTCCGCTCCACGCACGCCCCTTTGAACTTCATCAGAGCCCTCAATAAGGGAATGGTAGGGTTAGGGTTTAGGGTTTAGGGTTTTAGGGTTTAGGGTTTAGGGTTTTAGGGTTTAGGGTTTAGGGTTTAGGGTTTAGGGTTTAGGGTTTAGGGTTTGAGGGTTTCAGGGCTTAGGGTTTAGGGTTACAGGGAGTTTGCAGAGGTTGAGGGTTCCGGCTTTAAGCGTTTTCGAAGACGTCTAGATTTTTGGGCTTTGGTTTGCTGAAGGTTCAGGTTTGGATGCTAAAACCCTGAACCCTTAGCCCTAAAAACCCACAAATCCCAAACCCAAAAAACCCCCGAAAGAAGCTCCAACAATACATTCAATACAACCAAAAAAGCCCCGTACCCTGAACTCTAAGCCCTTCTAGGAACTTTTAAGCAACCCTTAGAGGAGCCCCTAAAGGAACCTTGAAGGACGCTTAAGGGAAAACCGAAGACGGTTGAAGGCACTCTTTGAGGATCCCTTAAACTAACTAAAGGAAGCCCCAAGACCCTAAAACGACCCAGCGGGGCGAATGCCGGTCCGGCTTCCACTCGCCGCAGGTCGGCACGCCAGGAAGGGGCACGGCCTCAAAGTAATTAAGGGACTATAGGGTTTAGCGTTTCGGGTTTAAGGGCTTGGTTGGTTATAGTGAACTCCTGAAAGTTGGAACATGGAAGTGGGATGATAAGTGCTGGGATTCCTTATTCTTTACTTGAAGGGCATGAGGATAATGATGTTCCAACTTCGCGTCCGTCCAAGTTGGGGCTCCTCCCTACTATCATATACGGCAGCCTAGAAGCAAGCATTATATAGTTTCCATGAAGTATGAAGCACGGGTCATTCCCTCTGCCGCGGTCTTTTAAATGCTGAGGCAGCTATGTTCATCAAGCAGGGTGCTTCTGTGTCAAAGCCCGATATACCAGTCTCTTTGCCCAGCCCGCAGATCATCCATCTCGCCTAATGGCAGACTCTGTAACGGCTGCTATAAGGGCTGTCTATTGGGGCCTTAAGCTTTTGAACTGGGCTTCGGGTGTACATTATAGACCAAAGATAATCAGGGACCCTGAGGAGTACGGTTGATGATATAAATCCTGCAAAACCCATAATAAGGAATACACCATAAGTCCCGTAGTTTAGGGTCCTTAAAGTAATGCAGGATCTATATCACCAACAGTAGTAGTATTCAGGCTGATATGTTACTTACGCTTTCAGTAAGGAACTTCAACCGGTTCCTTCAAGGGTGCTACATGGATCTGCAAGGGAGTTAAAGCGTGTTTTGCGCTTCCGCAAAAAACCTTCCAGACTCCTGAAAGGATCCTTCACTAAACCCTAAACCCCAAAACTCTAAACCCTAAACCCTTCAAGAAAGCTGAGCCCCAGGACGTTGCACGTCTTGTTGAGGCTCGGGTCCGCAGCGGCTCCACCGAAACAGCCGATCACCTGACCAAGTCTCAGACAGACTGCTGATGGACAAAATTCTGCATGACCCAAATATAGTATAGTACCATAAATCCCATAGTTTAGGTATATAAAGTCATGCAGGATTTTGTCCATCAACCGGAGGAACGCCGGAAACTTCCAAAAAGATCTCCCACGAAAGCACCTCTTTAACGCCCCACTGAAAACCCTAAACCCTAAACCCTAAAACCGTAAGTCACCGTGATGTCCGCCGAGCAGGAGTTGGCCACAAACTCGGCGTGCGGGGAGGAGGGGCCGTAGAGAGCTCGCATGGTGCCTTAGCCGCCGTTAGAACCAGAAAAAAAAAATAATGATAATCACCATCATGATCATAATAATTACAATAATAATAATAATCAAAGTCATAATCATAATCATAATAATGTTCCTTGTACTCCCGTGGAGTTAAGCTATATCATAACAAACATAAAATATGATTCTGAAGAGCAAATGTGCCGGCATTCCATGTGTTGAAGACGCCGACGATGCCTGCGATGATGCCGGCGAGGATGCCTGGTTGGGCCAGTCTCATAAGGAAACAGACGTTTTCCTTCGGGATCTTGCCGGGGCACCTAACATCCCTCGCTACCTTCGAAAACCTTGAAAAGGGGCCACAAAGGCCCTACAAATCACAAAGCTACGATACTGGAGGTTGGTTGGATTGATCTGAATCCAGTGTCCCTGTGGCAAAATACTACTACCGCAACCTAGTCTGGAAGAACACACTTGCTGGAATGCTGACACCGAAAACCCTCAGCTCGTAAATCCCCAAATCCTCACCTTGGACTGCAGACGTCATCACTGCAACGGAATACTACTACTAATTACCCGACCGCTCTATTCGGCTGAGACGCATGAAATCTGAGCCGTCTTGCCACTCTTCGCCGCGAAGCAGCGGGCATTGAAGTCCAGAGCCATGCAGTTTCCGAAGGCCAACCTAGCCCATGCGTGTGTGTGTGTGTGGGTGTGTGTGTGTGTGCGCGCATCTATGTATGTATGTATGTATGTATGTATGTATGTATATATATATATATGTATGTATGTATGTATGTATGTATGTATGTATGTATGTATGTATGTAGACGGCGGGGGTGACCATTCACAAGGAGCACTATGCCGCTATGACCAAACTAACATAACGTAAGTCTCTTGGGCTTCAGGGAACACAATGACCGTGGCCCAGTTGAAGAAGATGGCGTTCGGGATGGGATCGTAGCTGTCCGGGTCTGTGAGGCCAGCACCGATCACCGGCATGTCGCCTACCTGGGCAGTTCTTGCCGTCCCTTCAAAACGCGGTGTTCCTTCCTATGAACATACCACGATAAAAGATTGCAGTCTTCGCTAGATCATGGTTGGATTGAAAGCATGCTGAAGAACGGGCTAGCAACAGGGTAGGCGACGGAGACCCCTGCGCTGCTGGGCATGTTGCCCTGGATCCATGCCGTGGCGACGACGAAGCCCGTCCAGCCAATGAGCGCCTGCGTCAGGGCAGCCAGTCAAACTAAACCAAAAAGCTTCTACGACAACCATAGGGTTTACAGTTTAGGGCTTAGGGTTTAGGGTTTAGGTTCACAAAGCACCTGGATCACATCGGTGTAGGCCACCGACAGCAGGCCACCAGCGCAGGAGTACATCCAAATCAGGAAGGTAGCCAGCACGATGCCGACGTACTCATCCATGCCAAATAGGTAGGACGTGACCTTGGTTAAAGGAATCTACAGGTGGGGAGCTTGGGGTATATAGGGCTTATAGAAGGCTTCTATAAGGTACATAGACATAGGCCTTCTATATGGGTCTCCTATAACGGTAACTAGCCACCTGAAAATGTCCTAGACTTGGGTTTAGGACTTAAGGTTTGGGCCCTGTAACCTTCAGGGTTTAGGATTTCGGGTTTAAGGCTGTAGAGCTTAGGGCCCCAACCTTAAACCCAGACCCAAAGCCCTAAGCTCTAAACCCCAAGCCCTAAACCCTAAACCCAAGCCCGAAGCCCCAAGCCCTAAACCCTAAACCCAAAGCCCTGAACCCTAAACCCAAAGCCCTGAACCCTAAACCCGAAGCCCTAAGCCTTAAACCCTAAACCCTAAACCCTAAACCCGAAGCCCTAAGCCCTAAACCCTAAACCCTAAGCCCTAAACCCTAAATCCTAAGCACTAAACCCTAAACCCTTTAGGACCTGACCTTCCCGCAGCCCACGAGGTTCCCCGCAAGCAGGAAGATGAAGGAGATCATCGTCACCTGGGTTCTTGTCAGGGTTTAGGGCTTAGAGTTTAGGGTTTAGGGTTCCGGGTTAGGGATTAGGGTTTAGGGTTTAGGGTCCAGGTTTAGGGATTAGGGTTTAGGGTTTAGGGCTAGGGTTTAGGGATTAGGGTTTAGGGTTTAGGTTTAGGGATTAAGTTACCAAAATTCGGGATCTGTGATAATTTTGTGGTTTCATTGCTATGGGGTTTAGGGTTTAGGGTTTTGGGTTTTGGTAGCTTAGACTAATCCCTAAACCCTAAACCCTAAACCCTAAACCCCCTTAGCACGGACCCAGTCACCAGGGAGCACATGACCTCGGCTGCCTCGCCGTAAACACGTGCAAAGGCATCCTGGGAGGAAGTTAAGCTAGCATCATAGCGGTTTAGGGTTTAGGGTTTAGGGTTTAGGGTTTAGGGTTTAGGGTTGAATAATAGGGTTTCCATTTTATGCTAACTCAAATGAAACTCCTTAACAATAAACTGGAGTAAGTAATAGGGTTTCCTTATTCTGCCAACTTGAATGCAGTTCCTTAAAGAAGAAACCCAGCATCCGGGAGCGTCAGCAGCTTCATGGCATGGAGGGGCTTTGCAAGGAAGGTCCCGACGATGAGCCTGTGGCTGTTTAGTGTTTCGGGTTTTGGGTTTCGGGTTTTGGGTTTGGGGTTTGGGGTTTGGGGTTTTGAGTTAAAGAGCCCAACAAGTACAAAAAAGACTTTCCGCGAGTATAAACTGCGAAAAGCAATCGGCCAAGGGCTTTGATGATGAATTGCGGAAGAGAAACAGCGAGAGAGCCAAGCCGATTGGCAGCGCCGCACCGTCCCAGAAGTGGTACTTGTAAGCGAGGTCCAGGTTGCCAAGTGCGGAGCTGGCATCCAAGCACTGGGATCCAAGCGTGCACACCAAGATCCACACGGGCAAGTCCCGCCCGGCCACAAAGAAGTTCTCGCTGCTCCCTCCCACCTTGAAGTAGGTCGCGAGACCGGCGCCCATGGAGATCACGATGAAGCCCAGGACCACAGCGGCACGGCCCGTGAAGTCCTCCACGGACATCGGGAAGGCAGCCGGACATGGGATCCCGCACTTCAGCCACTGCAGGGCCGAGTCTGCTTTGGAGCACTTCTGCGCCTCGTCCGCGTCTGCCTGCTGAGTTTAGGGTTTAGGGTTTAGGGTTTAGGGTTTAGGGTTTAGGGTTTAGGGTTTAGGGTTAGGGTTTAGGGTTCAGTGCTTGGGGGTTCTTTAAGCTTCCATAGTGGGGACCTACAGTAAATAATAGGATTCCCTTTGGGTTTCGGGTTTCGGGTTCTTTAAGCTTTCATAGTGGGGATCTACAGTAAATAATAGGATTCCCTCTGGGTTTAGGGTTTCGGGTTATTTAAGCTTCCATAGTGGGGATCTACAGCAAATAATACGATTCCCTTTGGGTTTAGGGTTTCGGGTTCTTTAAGCTTCCATAATGGGGATCTACAGTAAATAATAGGCTTCCCTTTGGGTTTAGGCCTACAATAAATAATAGGATTTCCGTTTCTTTATCGTTACTTAATCTATTTAACTTCCTTAAAACCCTAAACCCTAA